AGACCAGCCTGTGCAACATAGCAAGACCCCATCTCTACAAAACATTAAAAAAAAAAAAAAAAAAGAAGAAGAATGAAAAGAAAGTACACACCCTTAAAATCCAATTTACAACCATTCTCATGAGTGTGACAGGGGTAGTTCCAGTACTAACTGACCAAATACTATCAGGGTTGGCCTGTATGCATTTGGTGTGACTAAACTGTATTCGCTGGCCATCTACCCTACTGAGAAGACTGTGCGCCAGTCATTAATGTTCATCGGGGGAAAGAACCCGGACAAGAATGTTCTGCCCTTGGGGAAATGTTTTAAACACTGAGTTTTACATCTGAGCACTTTTTGGTAAGACCTGGACTTGGATGCCAGAAAGGCAAAAGGGAGTTACCTCATTCATGTTATTTTAATACAGGCAATAAAGACATTCATGATAATCAGAGAAACCCACTGACCTCAGGATCTTTCCAGTTAACTTCAATAAATAATCATTCAGCAAATATCCAGTAGGCACTAATGACCAAGCCGTGAACAAGAGAATCTCAGTCTGCCTTCTGTGTGAATTGCTCTATTGCATTCTGCCTCGTATGGAAAGGCACCTTTCAGACTATAAGCTCAAATTCAGGTCCAGTTCTTCGTAGCAAACGTCCTGATGAATGTACAATACATGAGGGCAGGGATGAATGTCTGCCTGTGAGATGAGGAAGTTTTCATGGAGGAAAAACCTCATGATCCACGTAGCAAAGGACAAGTGGCATTCTAGAAGTAGAAAGGGGATGACGTAATAAGTTCATCACAAGATTTGAAAGCTGGGATGTTTCAGGGAGTGACACTGGAGATGAAGACATAGGAAAGGGAATAGTGAGACATAAAGCAGGCTGAAATCAGCGCCTACCTTACTCCACACCTCATTAAGAAGTCTGAACTTTATTCTCTGGGTAAAGGTGAGGTCGCCAGAGGATTTAAACAGGTAAATGGCATGTTCCCTGATGAATCCTTTTTGATCTACAGCCTATCTTAAAATAAATTAATTCAAACATTTCCCCAGTCCTTTCACATTTTTGGGTTTTAATTTACATAACCAAAATATTGATGAGGGTGTGGTTTAAGGTCTAATTTCTAACTAGTAAGACCTCACTATGCATAAATTGGAAATCATCAAAATTTAAAATGTTTGTTCCTAAAAAGGGACACCATCAAGAAAATGAAAGACATGTCAGAATACAAGAAAATTTTTGCAAATCATACAGCTGATAAGGCACTTGAATCTAGAATACATGAACTATTATAACACCAATAAAAAGACAACCTATTAAAAAAAAACGGGCATTTGAATAGACATTTCTCCAAAGATTACATATACAAATGCTCACTAATCACATGAAAAGACGCTCAACATCATTAGCCATGAGCAAAACATAGATGGCTAGAAACAAAAAGTCAGAGAGTAACAAGTGTTGGCAAGAATGTGGAGAATTTAGAACCTTCATATACTCTTGGTGAATACTGTAAAATGGTGCAGCTGCTTTGGAGAATTCTGGCCGTTCCTCCAATAGTTAAATATAGAGTTACCATACAACCCATCGATTACATTCCTAGGTAAATACTCAGGAGAAATGAAAATACATGTTCACAGCGTTATTTATAATAGCCAAAAAGGGAAAACACCCAAATGTTCATCAACTGATGAATGGATAAACAAAACATGGCATATTCATACAATGGAATATTATTTGACCATTAAAAAAAAGAATGAAGTACTATACAATACTACCACACACACAAACCTTGAAAATATGCTAAATATTCTGCATAATGCGATAGTGGAGAATACCTGTCATTATACATTTGTCCAAGCCCCAACATCAAGAATAAACCCTTATGAGGCTGGATATAGTGGCTCAGAAAAAAAAAAAAAAAGAAAATATGCTAAATAAGGGCAAGACACAAAAGATTACATATTGTATGATTCCATTTATATGAAACGTCCAAAATAGGCAAATCCATAGAGGAAGTAGATTAGTGGTTGCCCAGGGTTGTGGAGGGAAGGAACTGGTGAGGGAGGACTTCTAAGGGGTATGGGGTTTCTTTTTGGGGGTGATGAAAATGTTCTAAAATTGACTGTGGTGACAGCTGCACAACTCTGTGAATATACCAAAAACCACAGAACTGTACACTTTAAATGGGTGAACTGTATGGTATGTCTCAATGAAGCTGTTACAAAACAAAAAAAGTTCCATTCTGCACTCTAGAAATACAAAGTGCTCAGAAAGGAGTACAGAATCTTGTTCACTCACTTTAAAGGATCTGAACTAGGGCAAAGAAAACCCAGAGAGATTCTATTACTTAACATTCTAGGTACTAGGTCATACTGAAATATTCATGAAGAATTCTATGTTTTAATACCGAAAAGGTATCTTAAGTTTAAAAAGGCATACAAGTGTCAGAAAAGAGTTTTCATAATTCAAGGAGACAGTAACACAGAGAAGTAATAAATGGAAAACAAGCTTAAGAGGTTTTATCACATGGATTTGTACCTTGAAAATGCAAGTAGCTCTCAAATTTATTATTGCTCCACCCCTGAAAAGAGGTCAAAGGTAAAACAGCCCAATTAATAGTATGTTTCTAAAGTACCAGTTTGTGACAAATCAAAATGAGAAATTAATATTTTGCCATCATAAAGAAGAGACTCGTCGACATACCCACTTATATAACTAAGAATTGATATTTATCCTTTTGAACATTCCATCTCATAGGCATTAGAGTGACTCTCCTCCTCACGGCTGGAGTGGATCCCAGAAGTGACAGTAAGTTAAACATAAAACTTTTATCAAAAAACCCAACAGTGTTTAAAAAAATGCTATTCACTGACACTGAATCTAATCCTAAACTATACATAAACAAACATAAATGCTGATTAGCACTATCTGCAGGCAAAGTAACAAAGGATCACGAAAAATTCAATATCGTGTGCAGTGATGTTTCATCGGTATGTATCTATTAAAATTCAACAGGCTTTAATGTAACTTTCACAAATAATCAAACTAAATATGGACAAGATAGGTTCTATATTTGTCAAAAACGTGTGTTGCTGACGTTTATACCAAATCTTTGTTCGATCCTCAGTACACATGACTACCCTCCACCACAAAACACTGCACTTCAAGACCCAAGGTACAACACAATTCTCAGTTTTATTTCACTTTTTTCCCTACTTATTTACGCGACTTCTCAGATCCAATGTTTGCTATTATGCTTCATAGCCAAACATTATGACTGTGAAACATAACTCCAAACCAAAAATATTAGTTTCCTTAAATCATCTGAAATGTATAGAACCAAGTCCCAAATAGATTTTGCACATTTCTTCAGTTTTACAGGGAATGCAGAAAGTGAATTAATATTAAACAGATATCTATTTGCCTTCACAACTGAACAGACGGTACAAAGCAACTGCTTATACTTAATCATGTTTCTGTCTATTCCAGCAGGCCCTGGTGTCAGGAGAACGTTCTGCCAGATAAGGACAATGAGATGCATTATTATATAGAGTGACTAAGAGCCCTACAAGTACTGTTTTAGAATGTAATTCCAGGCAGAAAGGCTGCGGTAAGAGGGCCTAATATTTTGTGATAACTATTTCCAAGAGTAAATATATTCGCCACCCAGGACCAGTTTATTAAACGCACACTACATTCAATTCTTTTCAAATGTCTTATAGGAGGTAAAAGCCTTTGTATCTTACTATGCCGGGGGAAATGAACAACTTGCAATTTGCTTCGCACTCTGAATCCCACGTTTGCAACATTCAGAGCAAGCACTTCAGACACCACAAAACAAGGGCAGCCTACATTACGGCCAAATATAGGATGTGTTTCTAAACCGTGATGCAGTAAAGCCTACGATTCCTTTTCCAGCGTTCAAAATTCTTTGAACACTCCCAAAAAAGGATGGCAGGGCCAGCGCCTCCCTCCAAGAGGAAGCCCCTTTCTTCTCGGCTCTCACCGCAGCCTGCCACTTCCCCCCACACATTCAAATCATTTGAGAGACGGAGAGCTGGGGAGCGTGCGCCGGTGGGGACAGGCGGGAGAGCTCGGTTTCTACATTCCCACCCTCCACGTCTGACCTCATCCTCAGTCATTTCGGCGCAGCGGGGCCCCACCTGCACCTCGCTCCTTTTTACTGCGTCCCTCGCCAGCTGGCCCGCTATTAGGGGAACACACCTCTGAATCACCCAGTTCACTCGGACGACAGTCTTCCTGCTTCGTTCCTCCCCTCCCAACCCCCAGCCTGTCCCAGCCCTCTGCTCCCTTGGCCAGGCTCAGCCTCTTCCTAAGCCGCCCCCACCCACATTACTCCAGCTCCAGCCCTGCCCCGCCCTGCCTGACCCCCAACCGAGATCTGCAGGGCCCAGAGCTGGCCTCGCACCCAAAGCCAGGAAACCCGCAGGCCAGGCAGCCACCCTCGCCCCTCCCGACGCAGGGCCCAGCTCGCCCCGGCCCCACGTGAGCCCAGCCCCTGCCCGCCCCCACCCACTCGCTCCCTGGGGCGGCCCAAACCCAGTCCCCAGGCCTGAAGCCCCAGGGCTCTGCGCCTCGCCCGGAGCAGCCCTTCCCTCCCAGCACCTCGCCCAAGCAGGCGATCCCTGACCCCTAAAAGCCTTCCCTGGGCAGCCGCGTCCCACCTCGGCCGGCGGCTCCGCACCCGGCCAGGAGCGTTCCGGACCTCGAAAGCCTCCTCCCCACAGGGACCCTGCTTCACGCTTCCCACGCCACCTGGTTCGGTCCCCAACTCCGTTTCCCCGAGCCCCCGACAGCAGCCCCCAGCCTAACCCCTTGCACCCCGGCCCGTGAACCCGCGCCCCGCACGCCCACCCAGCCCTGTCCCCTCCACCCAGCCCTGCCCCTCGCCCCGCCAGCTCCTGTCAGCCCGCGCAGGCACATGCTCAGAGGACAGGTCCGCCAGCCCGACTCGCTCTCAGGCTGCCCCGTCGGGCGCGCGCCGCTCACCCGGGCCGAGGTGCCTGAGGCGCCGCCGCCGAAGTCCCTGCTGCAAAGCAGGGCGAAGCCTCCAACCGCTGCCGCCTCCCGCCTGGCACTGAGCGCTGTGCGGGGGAGGGGCGCGGGCAGCCGCCCCCGCCCCCGCCCCCGCCACCGCGTGTAGGCCCCGCCCCCGCACCACGCGGGGCCCAACCAGGGCTGCCGGGCTGCGGCACGCCACGCCCATTTCCGGGAGGGGAAGCCAGCTTCCCACCCCACGTTCCACGCCTCGCTACGCCCCCTCTGGTCGTGCCGAGGGATGCAGACGATGCCCAAGCGCACGCCCAGCTCTCCAGTCATCTGAGTGGCCAGAGGGCCACGCCCACAGGCGATTCTGAGCCACGCCCACTGCTCCTTAGACCCCGGAGCGGGGTTCTTAGAGCCCCGCTCACTGACCCGCTAGGCTCTGCAAGGCCACGTCCCCTAGCTCCTCAAAGATTCCCCCAGAATCCCTTAATACAGGAACATTAGCTCCTCTGAGCCCCGCGCACAGCCTATCCAAGTCCTTAAAGCAGCCTCCTGGTTCCCTAAGCCCGGCTGCCCTCCCACTGCTTCAGAACTCGCCCAGCGGCCTCACAAAGCCCCGCCCCGTCTTCCAGAAGCCCCGCCCAAGGACTGCAACCCTATTCCTAGCATCTCAAGCCCCGCCCACTGCCCGATCTCAACGTTTAAACCTCAAGCCCCGCCCCGAATTCGCGAATCCACGCCTCTGGCCCCCGAGGCTCCGCCCTGGCTCCGTCACACCCTCCCACCACCTCCCCTGAGGACTGCCGAAGTTCCAGCCCTCCCTGAACCGTCCATTGTCACATTCCTAGTGCAGGGTGTCCGCCCCTGGGCTGGGCCACACCCACGTAACACCAAAGAGGGCCCGTGATTGACCCCATTTCGCAGGTGAGGGAATGGAAACTTCAGGGTTCCTCCCTTCCTTTCCCTGGCCAGAGGCCCTTAATAACTCGGCGGCCCGGGCCTGAAAGTCGGAGCACGGGAATTTGAGCCTCAGCTCTGCTGCCGTCAGACTGTGTGACCTGGGATAGTTCTCTTACCTCTCTGGGCCTGAGTTCCCTAATCTTTAGCATGAAGAAATTATCCTGTTAATAGCCAAAATCCCTTTCTGAAATACTAAGCTTGAAATACCGAGATTTGAGAAAACAGAGCCGGGGGAACCGAATTGACTGAGGGGTAGGGCTACTTGCTTCCCAAAGCAAGACATCTTTGCCATTCACAGGGGGATTTTTTTATTTCAAGCGTCGGCCTCAGAAACGTGTGTTATTTAAATCAAGCTCGACCTGAACTAAGACAGCTATCATAGCAAATTCTCTCTAAGGGTCAGTTTCTTTATCTGTAAAATGGGGATAATAACAGCCCCTCCCTCACAGGGTTCCATGAGATCATATTAGCAGCCATGATCATGGCATTACTTTTTGCCATTAAAAAGAATGGCAAAAACCGCGATTACTTTTGCACCAGGATAATAGTAATATGCTTAAAAGGGTTCCTGGCTTATGATAAACCCTCGACAGTCCCTGTTGCTGCTACTGCTGGGACTCAAGAAAATGAAAGGATGGGTTTTATTTTGCCTTCAAGCAGCCACTCCTAATGAGAGGAATTCAGCACCCTTCCTGCAGCAAGATTTGCCACTCACTTTATTTAAATGAAATAAACGTGATAAAACACCTACTGCGGTGCCTGCCATATGGTACGGCTCAAAAACAATTCACTTGTTTTTGTTTGTTTGAGACAGACCCTTGCTCTGTCGCTCAGGCTGGAGTGCAGTGGGGCAGTCCACGGCTCACTGCAGCATGGACCTCCCGGGCTCAAGCAATCCTCCCACCTCAGCCTCCCACGTAGCTGAGACTACAGGCACGTGCCACCATGCCCAGTGAAATTTTTAACATTTTTTTGTAGAGATGAGGTCCTGCTATGTTGCCCAGGCTGGCCTCAAACTCCTGAGCTCAATAGATCCTCCCACCTCGGCCTCCCAAAGTGTTGGGATTACAGGCATGAGCCACTGTGCCCACAATTCAATAGTTTTGAACAATAGAAGTTGATTTTTAAAAATTCACTAGTTAATAAATTAAACAGGGGCATTGATAGCAGTGAGTTCTAAGTGCTTTGGGGAAAATGAACATTGGTAAAGTGCTTTGAGTTCTAACTGGAAACCACCGAGTAAGCTGGCTTATTCTTTGGAAACAGATTATGGCTAACATTTATCCATCACTTACACATGCTAGGCCCTATCTGAGTGCTTTACATGCAGAATATTCTGAAATTGCTCAACAATCCTATGGCCACAGAAATAATTCTTTTTTTTTTTTTTCTTTTTGAGACAGGGTCTCACTCTTTTGCCCAGGCTGAAAGCAGTGGCTCCATCTGGCTCACTGCAGCCTCAAACTACCAGGCTCAAGCAATCCTTCCACTTCAGCCTCCCGAGTAGCTAAAACTACAGGTGCATACCACCTTGCTCACTAATATTTTTACTTTTTGTACAGATGGGGTCTTATTTTGTTGCCCAGGTTAGTCTCAAATTCCTAGGCTCAAGATATCCTCCCACTTTGGCCTCCCAAAGTGTTGGAATTACAAGCGTGAGCCACCACACCCAACCCAGAAGGGATTCCTAATCCCCACCCATAAAGGTGAAGAAACTGAGACTCAGAGAAGTTAAATTCCTTGTCCAAGTCACAAGGCTTGAACCACGTAGAACCCACATCCATCTAAATGCAGAGCCTGCACTCTTAGCCAGTTAGTCATTACACTAAACTGCCTCTGTGGCAGCATGACAGAACAGAAAAACCATGGACTTTGGATTCTGGCCGGTTTAGGTTTAAATTCAGGTTCCACCTGTTACTCATTGTGTGACGTTCAGCAAGTCACTTCCCCTCTCTGAGCCGTATTCTCCTTGCCTATATATCACTGGGATCATGTAAATGCTTCAGGAAGTGGTTTTGAATATTCAGGAGTTTAGATTTAATGAATTAGGACATGGCAAAGCATCCAACACAGTGCCCAGCACAAAGTAGGTGTTTTAAAACATGTTGATGTTTAAAAATCACAGGGTTCCGGCCAGGAGTAGCAGCTCACACCTATAATCCCAACACTTGGGAGGCTGAGGTGGGCAGATTGCTTGAGGTCAGGAGTTCGAGACCAGCCCGACCAACATGATGAAACCCCGTCTCTACTAAAAATACAAAAATTAGCCAGGCATGGTGGCACACGCTTGTAATCTCAGTTATTTGGGAGGCTGAGGCAGAAGAATTGCTTGAACTCAAATTTGGAGGTGGAGGCTGCAGTGAGCCTAGATAGCGCCACTGCACTCCAGCCTGGGCGAGAATGAGACTCTGGAAAAAAAAAAAAAAAATAGAAGTAAATAAAAATAAAAATAAAAAAAATATTGGGGTTCCATGAGATCATAGATAAATGATGAAATTAGAAGTGATGCGCCGGGCGCAGTGGCTCACACCTGTAATCCCAGCACTTTGGGAGGCCGAGGCGGGTGGATCACGAAGTCAGGAGATCGAGACCATCCTGGCTAACATGGTGTAACCCCGTCTCTACTAAAAATACAAAAAATTTAGCCCGGGGGGGCCGGTTGCGGTGGCTCAAGCCTGTAATCCCAGCACTTTGGGAAGCCGTGACAGGTGGATCACGAGGTCAGGAGATCAAGACCATCCTGGCTAACACGGTGAAACCCCGTCTCTATTAAAAAATACAAAAAACTGGCCGGGCGCGGTGGCTCAAGCCTGTAATCCCAGCACTTTGGGAGGCCGAGACGGGCGGATCACGAGGTCAGGAGATCGAGACCATCCTGGCTAACACAGTGAAACCCCGTCTCTACTAAAAAATAAAAATAAAAATAAAAATAAAAAACTAGCCGGGCGAGGTGGCGGGCGCCTGTAGTCCCAGCTACTCGGGAGGCTGAGGCAGGAGAATGGCGTGAACCCAGGAGGCGGAGCTTGCAGTGAGCTGAGATCCGGCCACTGCAGTCCAGCCTGGGCGACAGAGCGAGACTCCGTCTCAAAAAAAAAAAAAAAAATTTAGCCAGGCATGGTGGCGGGTGCCTATGGTCCCAGCTACTCGGGAGGCCGAGGCAGGAGAATGGTGTGAACCCAGGAGGCAGAGCTTGCAGTGAGCCGAGACCGTGCCACTGCACTCCAGTTTGAGCGACTGAGCCAGACTCTGCCTCAACAAAAAAAAAAAAGAGAAATTAGAAGTGATGAAATGATAATGATGAAATTAGAAGAATTCCCCCCACCAGATGATACCGCCAGAAAGTAGCCAAGGAATATACTACAAAAGATCCCAGGGCCTTCATCTTCTGACTGCCTCTTTCAGTTCCTAGTTTTAGCCCTGCATTTGAGGAGGTGATTATTGCACAGGAAGCACCCAATGCCAGAAGCAACGCCACCTCACTCTCACTCCATACCTACCCTAAATGTGGTCAGCTGAGAGCTGCTAATTCCAGAAACAGGAAAACTGCATAACTCTGCTGGGAGAAAACCCCATCATCTCATTGTTCTTGAACCTACAGCAATTGCTTTGTGGGCCTGAGAGAAACTGTGGCTCTGTCCAAGCTGGCCCTAAAGGGAGGGATCCAGGTCCAGGTGAGATGCTGGATTTAAGAGTTTTTTCCTGCTCTCAAAAGCTGGTGATTTCTAAAGTGGCCTAAGACAGGTGCTAGATGGAGAGGAATTTAATGATCGGGAAAGATAAGAATGATTCCAGACCCCACATGATATAGATGCCAGCTCATGTATGAAGAGGAAAGAATTGTGGGCCCAGCGTCCAGAGGCTCCTTAGCAAATCGTTTTTCTATTTTTTCTGATACCAAATGGGGACATTTGTTTTAGGTTGCTAGGGCAACCTAGAAGCTCAGTGAATTACCCTGTGGAAGCATTAACAAATAATAATATTATTAAATAAATGAGACTGGAAGTCCCTAGAGTAATCTCAGTAGACAAGACTCCTAATTGAGTGATAGAAGACAACAAAACTTGAAAAGCACTAAAATTCACTCGACATTGATAAATCTTCATTCCAACTACTTCGGATACTTCTTTCTGCAAAATAGAAACTGGAAAAGTACTGAATGATTAACCAGCTACAGACAAATGCCTTTTTTTAAATTAAAATTTAAATTTTGAGATAATTGCAGATTCACATACAAGTGTAAGAAATAATACAAAGAGGCCGGGAGTGGTGACATGTGCCTGTAATGCCAGCTACTTGGGAGGCTGAGGCACAAGAATCATTTCAACCCAGGAGGTAGAGGTTGCAGTGAGCCAAGACCATGCCACTGCATTCCAGCCTGGGTGACAGAGCGAGACTCTGTCTCATTAAAAAAAGAGAGAGAGGGCCGGGCGCGGTGGCTCAGGCCTGTAATCCCAGCACTTTGGGAGGCCGAGACGGGCGGATCACGAGGTCAGGAGTTCGAGACCATCCTGGCTAACACGGTGAAACCCCGTCTCTACTAAAAAATACAAAAAACTAGCCGGGTGAGGTGGCGGGTGCCTGTAGTCCCAGCTACTTGGCAGGA